GCTGGCGCGAGACTGTTTGGTCGACCAGCAAGATCCGCAAGGATGCAGCGGAGGTCACTGCATGTATCGGCTCCCCTCCATGGTGGGAGGATTTACGAGCTCTGTGCAAGATGCTAGAGCCCATCATGGGCATGCTGAAGTTGGTGGACAGCGACACATGCCAGATCAGCAAGATTCTGCGACGTTACGAGGAAATGATTGCATCTTGTTTATCCGCATGTCGTGACATTGATCGGGAGCAGCAGGACACTATTGTGGAGGTGTTCCACAGGCGGCGCACCATGTTCAAGACCCCCGCCCACACGGCAACCATGCTGCTAGATCCAGAGTTCCGGGATGCGACGCTTTGTGACGATGCGGAGGTGCAGCAGGCCTTGGTCGAGGCCGTTGTCCAGTGCGGCTACCCGGAGGATTCGCCGCAGCACCGGGAGGTCCAACGAGCGGTCGCCAAACTCCACACGAGCGAGCCCCCTTTCGATGAGCTCACCATGCGGCGAGCTGCGGATATCTTTGATCACCCTGCCAGTTTTTGGTTCTCAAAGAAGGCGAAGTTCCCTCACACGGACGTGTTTGCAGGCAAGATCCTTCGTATATGGGCGACCGCCTCACCGTGCGAGAGAGCGTGGTCTCGTTGGAGCTTCATTCATTCGAAGTCTCGCAACAGGTTGGAGGTTCCTCGGGCTGAGAAGCTTATGTGGTGCCACTAGAACCTCAGGCTACTCGATCGACCTTCGTTGTGCGACGATGGTGTTGGAGAGAGGCCCGGCGTCTCCGGGAAATGGGTGCATTATTGGCAGGCCATGGAGGACGAGGCAGCCGTGGACCAGCAGCTTGTCAGAGGAACCAATGTTCTGGGGAAGGTGACCGAGGAGGAGTTGAGCCTCGCCAGAGAGAGGATGCGCGCCATTTCCCGCATGGGAGCCGAGCGTCGGGTGGCGGAGTCGGACAGGAGGCGACGCAGGGCTAGTGGTCGGGGACGTGGCGGCCGTGGACGAGCAGGTGTTGGAGGACGTACACGTGGCGATGCGGGTTCCGCTCCTCGGACTCGGCGACAGCGGACGGATGGTGGCATTCGCAGGGCCCGCATGCGTTGGGACGAGGGTGACTTCTTGTTTGACAGCACATCCAGCGACGACGATGATTTCTTTGCGTCGGGAACACATGCATCCACGGGTGATGATAAAGGTGACGCTGACGACAAAGGCGATGACAGAGGCGACGGTGATGACAGAGGTGATGGCGCAGGGCCCGGGGGAGGGGGAGG